TTTTTTTTTTCTTTTTAATTTTTAAATTTGGTAACCCTAGTGTGTGGGAATGTAAATACGTGCACATATCTGCAGGGTTCACGGAGCTCTCGCTCCGTTGGATAAATACGGTAGGGAACCCAGCTCCCTGCACCGCACGGAGCGGGAACAGCTCTCCGCTCCGGCTCTGCGTATCGCTCCTCTCCTCCGCTCTGAGACATCTCCACCTCCTCCCGGCCTCTCCCCTGCTGCTGGGCTTTGCTTCTTTTGGGGATCCGGCTCCCTGGGACTCGCCCGGCTTTAATGACCTGCCACGCGCTGCCCCCTTCACTTCTGTTTCTAGTGCAAGGGGTTACCCTTCATAGCTGAAGGCGGGTGGAGAGGGGCTGGGAGGGACAGGAATGACTTTCTTGGCTGGTTTCATTGGTATGGCACCCGCAGGGAGTGTGTGGCATTGTCTTTGCAGGGGTTCCAGTGAAGATCTCTGCAGTTCTGGTGCACAGCTGCTCAGCCTGGCTTCGGCAGGCGGCTTGGGCCTGTCTACTCGTGTTTTGGGCATCAGTTCAGTTTGCACCTGTTGCTAGTGTCGGGGCGGTAGCCAGCACAGAGGCCAGGCGCTGGGGTTCCGGGGAGGGGGCCGGGGTTCCTTTCTCTCCGAGGTGCAGGATCTTTACATTCTGCAGGCTGGCTGTTTTCTGGAACGCGCCTGGAGCTCTCGGGGCTGGTGGTTTGCAAAATCCTCTCTTTGACTTTATAAAGGGAGCAGATTCCCTCTGGAAGCCTTTCAGGAATAGCAAACGAGCCCCCGCAATGTCGTTCGTGACCGATTCAGCTCTCTGGCTCCCACGGCTCTTTAATGTTCTGCTGAAGCCATAGGGAATCTTGGCGGGACAAATCGGTGTCTGTGAAAAGCGCAGTGACGGCGGGCCAAGGTCAGTCGGCCCTTCCTGGGGTCTGTCACTGGGTCTCCCGTGTCCAGGAAGGATCTGCAAGGTGGAAACTCGAGGTCTCGGTCCCATTGTCCCGGCCCAGCCATATAAACTGCACAGCTACCAATGCAGTGCCATTAGGTCCCTCTGGATATGGGTGGTTCCCATCCTGTTAAGCCAGCAGTGGGGCCTGGTCCTGTGAGGTCCTCGACTAGTCCAGCAGCCAGAGATGAAGGTGCTTGATGCGTCAAGATGGGGGCGGTGTTTAGCCCCCTGGCTGGCAGCTGGATTCAGACATTGCCCTCAGCCATTGTACAGCCAACAGCTGGTGTGGAGCTGCTCTGCATCGCTTCACATGGGCCCCACTTCCAGAGGCAAACCCGGCCTTGTCTTGTTGCTAGATGAGGATCCCGGATTCCAGGAGCCCCCTGGGGCATCTGCCTATGCCATGGCTGCTAGGCAGAGTGCTCTGGTTGCTGGAGTGCAGAGAGCCTGGATGTCCTGGTGCCACGGCTGTGGTGCGCAGACGTCAGTCCCAAGCGCACCTTGGTTCACCCCACGTGGAAGGGGATTTCTCCTTGGCACAAGAGGAAGAATCCCGTGTCCGTGGGAATCCTGAGGGTCCTGACTGCCAGGCGTGGTATGGATGGAAAGTGAGTGGTTGTGATGTCTGGGGAGATGCGCCATCTTCACCACAAGGCTGCAGTCTCCACCCTGCTCCGTCACTGGGTGCCCCCTTTCACCCAGCACTCTGCCTGCTTTCTCAGCCAAAGAGAGGCCATAAGAAAAGAGAGAGCGAGGGATTCGCAAGGCCCCCTCTGTGGCTCTTCCGGTTAATCTGAGCCTCAATTATTCATACGCTGCTTTTCTCTGGGATGCTGTTCGGATCCACTCAGTTGCCCCTGCCTCTCAGCAGAGGTGAGCCGGGTGTCAGGTGGATGAGCCCAGGGAGACTTCATTCCTGCTGGGATTTCCAGCTCCTGACTTCTGGAATTACTGACCCTCCCTCCCACTCCCAGTGTAGGGGCCAAGGCACCGAGAGAAGGTTGGGCAGTGGGAATGAAGCAGAGCTGTGTCCATGTGCCGATGAAGCATCCTAGTACCCCTATAGGGGCAGGCCCACTTGGAGGAGAACCGTTTACTGCTGCTGTTAGAGGACGGAGCTACTCCTGTAGCTCAAGTGTAGAAGTCTGTGGTTTGGGGCTGAATGCCGGATGTTCTCCCACCACCGCCAGCTCACAGCGGGGGTCACTACATACGCCTGGGGCTGGCTGGGCCACCAGGAGGGTGCCTCTAGAGGTGATGGCCCACGAGGAACTCTGACCTTGCCGTGGATGCGGTTACCAAGGCTTTCCATGAGGCAATGACGGCTGTGTGTGTTGCCTTATGCCAGCGTTCAGGCTGCATCTGGAGCTCTGAAGATTAGAGAGTTGGTGGGGGGGGGGGCAGCTGCTTTCTGTCCTACGTCTGGCTTTCACGTGTGATCAAGAAGACCTAGTGTGACTCTCGCTGGAGGGAAGGCGCTGGATCTCGATTGCAGTTTGGCGCGTAGGACTGGCAGGGGGCTGAGAAGCCCAAAGGCATTATGGGAGGCATGGGGGAGGATGCTGTGTGGAGCTCCCCTCTCCTACTCCTGCGAGACCCATATTCGCCGGGTTAGGGAATACCCCTGTGTTACCATTAGAGGGCAGGAAAGAGCCTGAATGAACATGCAAGTCTGTGCAGAGACATTCGTAATGTGCCTGGGTCCCTCTGCCCCTCCACGGACTGAACAAATCCCCTAAAAGGGGCCCGGATCACACTGGAGCAGCGCCCCAGTCCGTGGGCAGAGCCGTGCTTGGGCTCTGGCTTGGGTGGGCGTTGGAGAGGAAGGCAGGGAACGTGTAGAACAGCATAGGGTCTGAACCCACCAGCTCCCGGGACAGAGATTAAAGCAGCGGGGCCGTGGAGAAAGGAGCGGGTGAGGGAACGTGGCTGCACTAACCTTGTAGTTACAGAGAGGGCGGCTAGTTCCTGAGCTGCAGTATGATCCCAGATGGTGGGTCTCTGCTGATCCCTGTCCTCTGGCTTTAACATGGAGCTCGGCAGTCCAGCCTTCCCAAGGCTTCGGGACCTGGCCAAAGGCGGGCATGCAATCCAGGACGCCGGTGTACGTGCAGCATGAGCCGACAGAGTCCTCGATCCCTCGTCTGTTCAGAGGAGCTCTGCTAAGGACCTGGGCTCAGAAGAGCAGCCCATGGGCGTCATCAAGGGCTCTGGTTATCTCTCAGCCCTCAGATTTTGGAAGTCTCATGCGGTGGCACTGGGCGTTGGCTCCCAATGGTGGAGTGCAGCATGGTGGGGAATGTCCCTTTTCCAGTTGAGCTAAAGGGGCTTTGCCTTTGCCAGTGGTGCTGGTGGCACATGTCAAGGGCATGGGGTCCTAGTGAGACCAGTAAGGCTGCCTGGAAAGCCAGAGAAATCAGGGATGAGGGAGGTAAGAGCTAGTCTGGGTTGAGTGTCCGCAGAATGGCTCTCCCCTCGGCCCGGGCACCCCAATGCTCTTGTTGATAGTGGCTGGTGAGCGTTAGGGGATCTCTTCCTCTCCCAGCCGGTGTGTCCCCCTCAGCGCCTCCTATGTGGGCCATATGGGAACCGTGTGGTGTCATGTTTGTGACAATACGTCACCGCGCTGTTACTCGACACATGCCGCGGTCGTTTTCTGTGCCGTTGCTTCTGGGGCAGAGGCGTTGCTGAGACCGGCTTCAGGAAGCTGCTAAGTTTCTTTCTGTTCCATTTTCCCCCATTCCTTCTCCTTGACCAGAAGGGCAGAAATTAGCAAAGCATCAGTTTACTCTCCCTCCCTCTTGCTTGGTGAGATGCCAGCATCTCAAGTTTTTCCGTCCTAAAAAATTATTTGTAGTTTCTTCCAGGGCTGCTCCTCAGAGCCCAGGGGTCTCTGGGCCAGATCTCCAGTTGGCACAAATTGGTGTAACGCCCCTGAAGTCAGTAGAGCTGTGCCAATCTATGTCAGCTCTGGGTCTCCCAAACCCGGGAAATGGACAAGGTGGCTAACCAGGCTGCTTTCAGTCCTTATCTTCCGTTCTTCTGCAGAGATTTTTGGTGTGAAGCACCTGATGAGGGCTGGGTAAATAATTCAAGAAGAAATATTTCCATAAATTCTCTTGCAGATTCTTAGGCCAAAAGTAACTGGTCTGTTGTTCCTTCAAATGAAATCGCACATTTTCTGGAACAGCTGATGTTAAGTGAATATTGCAGAAGGGCTCGGAGAGCTCCAAAAACCCATCTGAGATTTGAAAAACAGGCCTTGCGGGGAGAGACTTAAATAGATTAAGATCATTATCTTATCAAAGAGAGGGCTAAGGGTTGACTTGATTACAAACTACAGGTACCAGGGAAGAGAGATCTGCTGTTAGGAAGCCCTTTCATGTAGCAGATGAAGGCATGACAAGATCCAATAGTTTGCAGTTTAAAAAAAAAAATCATTTGGGGAATAAGATGCTAATTTTTAAGTGAGGGCAATTAGCCATTGAAACAGCTTAGCAAGTGGTGGTGGTGAATTCATCGCTGTAAAGCTTTAAATCCAAATTGGATGTCTTTCGAAAAGATGCTCTGTAGTTCAGCTGCAAATTAATCGGCTCTGTAGTGTCACTTCAATAGCAGGAAAATTTTTTCCTTCACTGCAGGAATTACGGGGTGAAATTCTATGACCTGTGCTATCTTGAGAAAAGAAGACTGGGGCGGGGGGGACCTGATAGTCTTCAGGGCTATGTTCAGGGCTGTTCTAAAGAGAATGCTGATTTATTGTTCTCCGTGTCCACTGAAGGTGGGACAAATCGTAATGGGCTTCATCTGCAGTGAGAGGTTTAGGTTAGATGTCAGGAAAAGCTTTCTAACTATAAGGATCGTTAAGCTCTGGAATAGGTTTCCAAGGGAAGTTTTTAAGAACAGGTTGGACAAATGCCTGTCAGGGCTGGTCTAGGTTTATTTGGTTCTTGGTCTTTCCTCAGCACAGGGGGCTGGCCTCTGGAGGGACCTTCCAACCCTACATTTCTATGAGATTCAGTGCAGGCCTGGGCTATGAATGCTGGATGCTGACAGTGGTTCCTTCCAGGCATTAAAACCCGTGAACCTTTGCAGACGTGACTGCATGAGGAACCTGACTAGAAGTGAAGTGTATCCGATCAGGGAATGAACCATACGACCTGACCTGGGTCTAATCAAAACGGTGAGAGTTTTAAGGTGTCGAGTGTGAGACAATGCTCCTGACTGAGCTGTGGGTGGAGAATTATTGTCCATGACAAGTTGGAGAGCAGCGAATTGTGTGCGTGAACAGGGGAGAGATTTAGTGAATAAAAATGACCCGGTGGAAATGTCCCAAAGGTGCCGAGGAACCTGAGCTGGAAACATCCCGCCTGGACTCTCGGCCGTAGCACTGTGGAGGTGCTGGTTCGTGGTTTCATGCTTCGGGTTGAGTTCAGCTTGGAGCTTAAAGCAGGGATCCAACCTCTCGGTTTTGTCTGAAGAACACGGCGTGTCCTCCCCGGACTTGCAGCACTTCCCCTTTGAGTCCAGAGAAGCAACGGGCATTGAGCGGGGAATGGTTCTTCCAGCCTGGATGTGGAGCTGAATTGCCCAAACTTCCTCAAAGTCTAGGGCTGTGAGGGGCCCATCAGTCCTTCGGGCAGGGCGGCTTTGGTTCAGATCTCTCAGGAACTGGGAAGTGTCAAATTCTGTTTAAAACACACACGTAACACAGGGTTTTTTTTAACACTAGCTTGGTTGGCGTTACCATGTTACCTCCTGGCCACCCCCCCTGCAACTGTCGCAGCCTGCTGTCGACACAGCCAACAGTTACTCCTTTACCTCAAGTGGGAGGATCTTCTGTGGATGCCTCAGCTCCTGTGTTCGGGATGCAGCCAAGGCCGGATTCCTTCTATAGCCCACCCCCTTCTGGGAGCTTCTGAGCGCTTGAGGCTTTAAAACCAAATACCTCGCCAAACTCCGCCGAACAAACTGCCCTGTGCTAAAGCGACTTGCCTACATTTCCTCAAATAGACCCACTGACTCATAGGAGAAAAGCTTACTCATGGATCATAGGAATGGCCAGGCTGGGTCAGACGGGCCCGTCTAGCCCAGGGTCCTGTCTCTGATGGTGGCCAACACCAGAAGCAAGGAAGGTGCAAGACACCTTGAAGTTGGGAGTCTAGGAATAACCTACCCATGGGGGGGGGCTGGATAAAGTTCCTTCTTGAACCAGTTAGAAGGGGTGGGGATGGTTCTGTGGCCTGCAATGTACAGATCAGACTAGGTGACCTGACCTTCGAGGCTGCTGTGTGCCCTGCCGCAGGAGGGGTTTCTGTCCCAGCTCAGCACCACAGTGAGAACCCCCCAAAGGCAGCAGATCTGCCCCGATTCCCCGCGCTGCCCCACCCGCCATTGGCGGCGTGCTGGCTCTTTTCTTCTCCAGTCTCCAGTTTAATCGGTAACCTCGTCGCTTTAATTAGAGCTTCCTGAGCGTCCCCGTTTCCCTGAAGAGATGCCGCCGCCTCCGGCTCTTTCAACCGTCTGTAGAGTCGCGCGCGCTGCGGGTCGGGAGTCGGGCAGCAAAGGGATCCTTTCATGGTTCACGTCAGGCAGGTGCCAAGAGGGGTCAGCCTGCAGCAGGGGCCGCCGCTCAGAAAATACTAGGGGTGGGAAAGGTCATTCCCGCCGCGCCTTTTGTGGGGAAATTGGCGCCGCGGGATGCCCTGATGAAAGAACCGAGGCAGTTCAGTTCCTCTTAATGACAGGCCGGGCCTAGCGTGGGGAAGTGCTGAAGGGCACGGGAGGAAAGCCGCCGCGCAGCCGTGTGCCAAGGCCCGTTTCTTAAATCGCATTTCAAAGCTCCGGGGCAAAGAGCCGCATGGTACTGCCACTAACCCTAACCCTAACCCTAACCCTAACTACAGACACATTTCTAACCGGGCAGATGTGCGCTGCCGTGCATGTGATCTGTGATCCCCTCGCACCCCCGCGTGCCCTCTATAACACTGATCGAGAGAGATGCACAGCTGTTTGCCCTCCCCCCTCCCCAGGTATTAATACATACTCTGGGTTAATTAATAAGTAAAAAGTTATTTTATTAAATACAGAAAGTAATGGTCTCAAGTTGCAGTGGGGGAGGTTTAGGTTGGATATTAGGAAAAACTTTTTCACTTGGAGGGTGGCGAAGCACTGGAATGGGTTCCCTAGGGAGGTGGTGAAATCTCCTTCCTTAGAGGTTTTTAAGGTCAGGCTTGACAAAGCCCTGGCTGGGATGATTTAGTTGGGGACTGGTCCTGCTTTGAACAGGGGGTTGGACTAGATACCTCCTGAGGTCCCTTCCAACCCTGAGATTCTACGATTCTGTCCCATCTGAGAACCCCTCACCTTGCTCCTTGGATCCATTTAACAAACGGAGCTAGGTGGCAGTTGGGAAGGGCTGCCAGGCTGGAATAATCACAGCAAAGGCGGGGAAATGTGACCGGGTCTTGTGCGAGGAACAGCCCGTTCCCCGCACCAGGGTGCTCTGCGCAGGAGGCCGCGAGCCAGCCAAGTTCTGTCACCGGGCTCAGCCTTCCCCCATGATCTGTTCTCCATGCCCGTGCAATGGCAGAGGGAAGGGAGTTAATTAATCCCCTTGAGGCTGCTGCCCAAGTTCTGGGAGAGTGGCAAGGGAGCCACCGCTGGCTGGAAAAGACGGCGTTTGCACCGTGCTCCCCAGTATTTTGTGTTCCTCCGTGTGAGCAATCCCACGCCATCCCCCCCCTCGCCCGCACCTGGTAGCCTGGTTATAAATAGACCGTGCATGCTGTCAGGGCTGCAGGGAAGAGAACTGCGCTTGTTTTCCTGCTGCCGCATTCAGAATGTGGAGGCATCAGGTGAGACTTGATTCGTAGGGGAAAGAGACGTTGCTGCTCTGCTGAGCCAGCCACCCGAATTCCTGTTGCCGGCCAGCTCCTCCCTCTGCCTCCAGCCCTGCTGGGAACGCCTCCGCAGAGGGGTGGACGTGCTGGGGAGGGCCAGGCGTGAGGCCAGAGGCTTCCAAACTCAGGTCCATGGAGCCCTGGCCTGGGTTCTGTGGGGAGCGTCGGGCGGATCCCGCCCACTTTCAGCGGCTAACGCTCCCTGGAGGTAGCTGTCGGTAGCGACATCTTTTCCTGCTGTTACCGTTGCATGGGAACAACGGCTGCAGGTGTCCCAGGGAGTGGCGAGCTGGTGATCGGACGGGAGGGATGGTGCAGGAGTGGGGCTCCAGCTGTCTATTGAAATGTGGGTCTGCCAGGGTCGTAGCATGAGATGCCCCGGTCTGGGTTTCAGCTGGGGATCAGAGTCTGATCGGAGACTCCTGAGGGTAAAGCCCTTGATTGGGCCGTGGGGGGGGGCTGAGATCTGGCTCCAGGGTGCCTTTCCTCCTCTGGTCTATGATGAGCGGTCTCTGATTTTGCTCTCCTTTTATTTTCTGCAGGGGGGCTGTGGGACCTCGAGGCGCAGCCCACCTGTCTGGAGGTGGGGACCGGACCGGTGCGAACCCTGCTGACGCTGGATGACACCGTGTGGGCCAGCTGTGCCAACCAGGTCACGGTGCTGGATGCCGCCAGCCTGCAGGCGCAGGTACTGCCGTGGTTCACTGCCCCTTGCCACGTGCAAGGCTGGGTGCCAGGATTCCAGCCTCCTTCGGGGTGGGGGTTCCTTCCTTTCCGCCCTCCCCACACGTACTCTCCCAGCTCCTCAAACTACGTGCCGGGTGACTGACCAGCTGGCCCAGATGAGGCCTGGCCTAGGCTCCTCTCTCCCCACTCCTGCGTCTGCGCGGGGAGTTTCTGGCCTGTGCCTCCCTGCGTGGCTGCGCACAGATGGCTCCAGCTGTGAGATGCGGAAGGTGGCTGGGATGGGGTGAGCTTTGCTTGCACCCTGCGAGCAGCCAGGGGTGGGGAGGTAAGAGTATGGTGTGATGGCTGAACATGCCGGAGTGAGCCGCTTGCTCCTTGGGGTCGCTGTGGCTTTAGCCCACCAGCCCACGCAGCCCCAGTGCCGTCTCATCCTTAGCGCTGGCAAGTGTTAACTCCAGCCGCTCTGGACCGAGCCTGGCCTACCCTGCACTCTCGTCCAGGAGCCCTTTGTCTCGGGCTTGCTCCTTACTTGCTTGTGAAGGCCGGAATGATTGCAAGGGAAGAGGCCGGTGCCTGGGGCAGCCTGGCTGCGCGCCCCTCGGCCGAGGCTCTGAGCAGCAGGGGAACGGCACTTGGACAGCGGGCGCAGAACCCGTGGGAGCGTGCGGCCGGGCGGAGCTTCATGCTCTCAGTGCTCTGACCCCTGGCTTCGGATGCGTCTGCAGAGTGACTGGATGAGGGGGGAGGAGGGGAACTGCCAAAAGCACTGGTCTGGGGAGCCGGAAAGGGGATTGCAGCTGTTGCTGGTGGAGGGGGATAAGGAGGAAGGAGGGGATGGCGATTGCAAGGAAAGAGGCAAAGTGTCTGGGACAGCCAAGCAGGGATGCTGGGTGCTCAGTGGAGGCCAGGAGCCCAGGGCGACGTTGGGGGGCCGTGTGGGTCGAGGCAGCGAGTGACGCTGTGGGAGTGGGTGAAGATGGCACCAGAGCTACGTAGAGCCGGAGGACAGAGCCGTTCAAGGAGGAGTGTGGTGGGTGAGGACCGGCTGTGGGAGGGTGGATTGGCAGAGAGAGTGGGGAGGTTGGCAGCATGACATGCAGCCTGGCTAAAGGATCTGGAATGTATTTGGGGGGTTGCTGTTTGCAGTTCGGATACGCCCCAGTGCACACAGGGTCTCCTGCACCCCGTGGGACTGGCTGAGCTCTCGTGCTTCATCCTAGATGCTCCCCCAGCCAGAACGGGCTGAGCTCTGCTTAGTCACTCCCTCAGGAGCCAGCCAGCCGGGCCCCAGGCTTCAGCCAGAGGCCACTGCTCGAGTGCCTCCGGGTGTGTCTACAGACAAGAGCTCCGTCTAGCGAACTTCAAATACCAGCTGCTCTGAAGCCGTGGCAGGCTGGGCTCGCTGTGTGGGTCCCTACTCTGCGACTCAGGCGGCTGGTACAGCCCGTGCTGCCATGGTTTTACTGCTCTTGTTGTTGGCGCGAGTTCGGTTAAGGCTAGCTCGGACCGGTCTACACACGCTGCAGGCACACCTCCAACTGGAGCGTAGACAGACCCCCGGGGCTGGCCATCAACCCAGCTGCCTCGCTCAGGGGTGTGAAAAAGCCACACCCCTGAGTGACGTACGTAAGCTGACATGCGTCCCTGCTTAGACAGTGCTGGGTGGATGGAAGAATTCTTCCGTCAACCTGGCTACCGCCTCTCGGGGTGGGGGATTAACTCCCGCAATGGGAGAAGCCCTCCCACCGGCGTTAGGCAGTGTCCCCACTGATGCCCCTGTAGTGTTTCAAGTGTAGACGGGCCCTCAGTGTGTCTGCAGTGACTGGCTGGGCTCCAGGAGACGGGGGCAGTCCTTCTCCTATGCCTGAAGGGCGAGCCAGCCCCCTGAAAGACGGCAGAGAACCCTTCCTGTGACTGGCTCAGCCAGCCCCGGCTTGCCTCATCTGTGGAAAAACTAATGCAGGATTTGTGGACAGTGCCCTGCCTGGCCACTGCGTGCTGCTGTCGCCGTGCCCAAACTGCTGCGGCTGGAGGCGTTCTCTGGGCATTTCCATCCCAGGCCCGCTCCCTCACTGTCTAATAGCAGTCCTCTAACGATGGTGCATTTCTCGGTTGAGCGCTCTCTGCGCTGCGGCCCGCCACGGCCTTCCTCGGCGCGCTCCCATGCTATTATGGAGATGGAGATGGAGATGGGCTGCTCCCAGGATGCGTGTGCCCCGGCCTCTCTGCTGCCTCATGCCTAATGGGCTGCGATTTGATTGAAAATGTCCCTTGGCGTGCGGGGGGAGCATGCTCGCTTCGCGTCTATTAGAGCGCCGGGGAGCACTGTTCATTAACGAGCCTCCCCTGCCCGCCAGCGCCCCAGCGGGGACAAGTTAACCATTTGCTGGACAGATCGGCTGGCCCCGACTTGTCTGGCTGAATGGGCCTGGCACGCTTGTGTTCTAGTGATTCCACAGGTCGTAGTGGCCAGAGACGGTCAGAAGCTTGGCTTGGCAAACCCAAAGGCAGGGGTGGCATCTAACCCACTGGCAGTGAGTGTGGGTTGCCCCCTGGGTTTGTACAATGCCAGACAAAAGGGGGTCCTATTCATGGCTGGTCTCTGGGCATTTCCATACTACAGATAACTGTAGTAACTTGGACCACAGAGAGGATAAGGGATCTACTACTACAAGTGATTGAAGGAGATCTCCTTCAGCTCCAGCAGAGGCCGGTTTGGATGGAGTGTGGGTTTAACAAAGGCCAGGTGCTTGGGAAGCCCTAGCAGAGGGGATTATAAAAGCCCACGTGAAGGTGACACTAGTCCAGGTCAGTCTGAAGGTACTAAATACCAGGCTCAAGGGACTGCAGACTGCAGTCCTGAGCTCGGTGCTGAGTTCAGGATGCAGTGGGGCTTGCTGGAAGGGCTGGCATGGGGTGGGATTCAGAGGTCCCCCTGAGTGGGGAGTTGGTGTATAGGAGAAGCGGAGGCTTTAAAATAGACTTTCACAGTCTGTTGCTCTTTCTGGCTCTGAAACGGTTAAATACAAATGCGGCAGCCCCGTAAGACTCCCCAGTGCTTTACAATGCCCAGTAAGCGCCAGGGCGTGTGCCCTGCCTGCCCCCCAGAGCTCATGACCCCCCACACCCCAGCCTCCCATGGCTGGTACTGCCAGGCCAACTGCAGGGGACCCCGTAGCCATGCTGCAGACTCGAGTCTCAGGTGCGAAAGCTGGTATAGCTGGCAGCACCCCGAGTGCCCCCTGGCGAGGTGTCATTGGGCTCCACTCTGAGCCAAGCCGGGGCACAGGCCCTGATATTTGATGGGCCCCAAGCGTGGGGGACAAAGAGGTATTTCAGGCCGCTCCGGAGGCTTCCCGCTGGGCCTGGTGCGGGCAGCCACAGCTTGGATTTGACAGGCTGCCGGTTCAGTCCCTCGCCTGGCCTGTGCTCTCAGTGGGAGCTGCCGGCAACGCTCCACCAGCGAGGGGCTGTTCGGGGTGAGGTGGAGTCCGCACTGGGGGACGTGCGTTTGTTCCCAGAGCAGGGCAGCCACGGTGATGGGTCAGGCCATCTGCAGTGGGAGCCAGGCTGCCCTCAGCCGGATTCCTCCTGCCCGATGAGCTATGTGGCTGCAGCTCGTTAGTCAATGGGGCGATGGCACAAGCTTCCAGCTGACGATGGGCTGGGCGGCATCATTACGGTGCTTTTAATTTTTTTCCCGCCTCTGCGTTGGAGCGCAGACTCCCCGCGGCGCGTGCGTCTCTCCAGCGGCTGTAAGACCTTTCCTCCCGTAGAGAGCGTTGTGCTGCCCGCTTTAACTCGGGCGCCGGACCTGCCGCGCCTGGGTTCTGAGCCGCTGACCGCCAGATCGCACGCACCCTCGGCTGCCTCCTGTCCAATGACAGCGGGGCCGTTGGGTGGAATCGGTCACATCCGCTCAGGTGAGGTTTGTAGGGGCCACACGTAGAACCCCGCCCTCTATCCCCGCTCCTGTCTCTGTTTAAACTTGTAAACTGGAGCGTGGGGCCTTGGAGATAAGCTAGGAGCCCAAAGTGTCCCGTTTCTGAGGAGAAAAGCACTTTAACCCCCGCAATGCTGAGGAGAGGGGGGGTATTGCAATTGTACAGCGGGGGACACTAGAGACCTTCCAGCGGTGTGGCTGTATGATGTGGCTGCACTGCCATGAGTTCCCTAGTGTAGCCGCTCTACACCGATGGCAGAGAGCTCACCCGTTTACTTAATCAGCCCCCGTGGGAATGGTTGGAGTGCCTCCCACCAGCGTAGCGCCGTCTACACCAGCGCTTAGGTCGGTGTCACTGACGTCACTCCAGGGGTGGCTTATTCACCCCCCCCCCCCCCCCCCCCCCCCCTGTTTTACCCACAAAAGTGGTCGTGTAGACGTAGCCTAAGGCAGAGAGGCCAAGTGATTTGTCTGAGGTGATGCAGCTACAGGCAGGACTGTCCTGAAATTCAGCTCGGGTCTTATCCACCAGACCCTGCTTCCTCCGTTTTCCATGTTGGCAGCCCTGGCTGGAAGAAAAGAATCTAGTCCCGGGTCTCCAGCTGGTGTCGATCAGTGTCACTCGACTGGCGTCAATGGCCCACACCCCCAGCTGAGGATCCGGCCCCTAGGGCCGAGTCGTCGTGTCCCAGCGCCGCACCTCACGGTGGCTACGGTCTGAGCTGCCAGCCGCGCCTCGGCCACTGTATAACACCCCGGCAGGGCAAGCCGCAGCCCCTGGCCTTTTCGCTCTTGTGATTTAAGACCAGCAGTGTGCTAGCGGCTTTGAAAAGGGATCAATACTGCCTTTAGCCTGCGTTTTACACGGGGCCAGAGATCCCCACACGGGGGGGGAGGGGTGTCGGTGAGCTGCAGTCGGGTGGGGGCGGGGGAGCAGAGACGAAGACGCGCACGTCGACAGCCCAGTTGAAATGGAAACATTGAGGGGAGGCGTGCGCGGGACGGGGGGAACCGGCCTTTCGCCCCCGCCGGCCCATTTCCATTCTGTACGGGACCGA